TGGGGAGTAAAATAAAATGGAGTTTGGGTGAGATCTCAGCAGGTTAACTGTATAGAGGTCTGAAATTCTTCTCTTTAGATCATTGATGAGAATTGTATTTCTACTCAGCCTGAATTGACTCAGCATTTAAGTTTATAGGGCTGTCGAATCAGCATCTTTCACCAACACTTGAAAGCTAAAATTTACGAAGCAGAAGGCTTTGCCCCTGCATCCTCATCCCATACACCTGGAAGGTTGTTTTTCACTTGTAGCTTATGTTGGGGGTTCCCCGCTGTGCTGACTGGGACTGAGCCTCAGGGCAGCTCAGAGTGCCCTGTGATCACCCTGTGCACCAGAAAGCCTAGATAAGGCAGCTCCAGCTGTTCTGCACACGCTTTTTATTTTAACCTTCAGTAGTTCTTCTTTTCCTCCTTCAAATCTCCTGGTTTTCTTCGCTTTGGAATTGTGTGGCTGTCAGTCCTGAAAATGGCAAGACAAGGCGTCTGTAGGCTAATGAACAGCTGCAGGAAGATAATTAATGCTCTCCCACCTTCCTTGCAGCCTTTACCACCTCACCATGACACAGCCTGTAACATCTGTGCTTCCCAGAAGCTGAGCTGTAAAACACCCTTCCCTGCTCTTCACAAAACAACTGTCAGATGGGCTGGCACCCACGTTAAGGGCAAAACTTACAAAACACTACAAAAGATGAGCTATGTTATTCCCAAGTCAAAGATGTTGAGTGTTTCCATGAGAGAGGACCATAGAGCACTTGGCTTGGATGGGCCTAGCACCAGTACACTGTGGATGCGGAGGTCAGGGGAGGGTGGAGACAAGCAATGCAATGAGGGAACTGCCTTGAGTCTTTTCTTTCAGTTAAGGTGACTGAACCTGTAGGCTTTGGAACAAAGTGCTTTGACAATTACCAGAGGGGAGGGCAGAGTCATCCCAGACTTCATATTGTCTCACACAGGGACGATATTCAAAAGAATAAACTCAACATGAGCATCATTCAGAAGGGACATTTGTCGTGAGCCCTTGTACAGCTGTTTCAGTTCGTGTACTGACTGCATATCAGACCTGTTGACACTCTTCCTCATGATCCCTCTACAGTTGCAAAAATACTATTTATTTATCTAGTACCTGCTTTATGCCAGAAATGGTCCTAGGTGCTTTTGATAATTTTGCACATGAACAGTATGACTGGAATTCTTTCAATTGTCATGTTAATTTTATTTTTTGGGTCATAAGTGCTAATTTGTATGTGTTAGGCATCAGCCCTATCTACATCTGCAGCATCTCAGCCCTTTTTAAGTCTTGCTCACTCCACCCAATTATCTGGGTGTTTCTGAGAACTCCCAGGGGGTGTCTCCTCAATGATCAAGAATGGTTCTGTCATATGTATTTTCCTGATCCAGCCTCCTGATGGTGTCTTTTATGCTCAGGTACTTAGAGGGGTACCCTGCTGCTGCTTTCTTGACTAGGGTATTATCTTCTGATGCTCCCACCTGCAAATTCTCCTGACATTCCTGTGCTATTAAAGTGCATCAGGGTTGTACTTTGTCCTCTGCATTCTGGTGCAGCGTTGCTGTGCCTTGAGTATCAGAAGTATCCCTGGGAAAACAGCTCCTTCACTTCTGCTTTGGCTCCTGCCTATGTGAGGCAGGGTCCACCTGAAAATCTTGCACATCGGATCCTTTCTATTTGTTTACTTCCCTTATCCCAGAGCCCCAACCCTCTCTTCTGATAGGGCACTTTCCCCTCATGCAAATCATTTCTGAATAATCGTATCTGGCAAAGGTGGTGGGAGTGTCACTGGCCCCACACAGGCCCTTTTTGGCCTTAGCCAAGATCACCTGGTATCAAGTAATTAAACAAATGTCAAGTCTCAAATTGCCTTGCCCAGGGGATGTGTACTTGTGTTAAGGGAGAAATAATGTGTCATTATGCAAATGTGGTCCAAATAAGTTTGGGCAGAAAAAGACTCTTTTACCAAATAGACTCTAAAAGCACCCTTGCCCAGAATACTGAGCCTTCCCTGAGAATCTGCTGCTCAGAGAAACCACAGAGCTTAAGCTAAGGATGGGGGTTTAGTATCAGGGTTATAGAGGCACAGTCAGCATTTTGCAAAGCTGAGAACAGCATCTTCCTAGAAACTGAGTCAGTCTTAATACTCAACTGCATTCCAGCCCTGGCCAAGCCATAGAGGCACAACAGTGTGGGATCTGCTGAAGAAGGGCTAGTCACATCCAGGCTTAATCACGGATTCTTCAGAGAGGGACAGAAGAGGGACATCAGAATTCACTGCCTCTTCAGAGTGTTTCAGTGCTCACTAAAATTTCATTTTTTTTTTTTTTTTTTTTTTTTTGAGACAGAGTTTCACTCTTGCTGCCCAGGCTGGAGTTTAGTGGCATGACCTTGGCTCACTGCAACCTCCGCCTCCTAGGTTCAAGTGATTCTCTTGCCTCAGCCTCTGGAGTAGCTGGGGTTACAGGCTCATGCCACCATGCCCAGCTAATGTTTTGTATTTTTAGTAGAGACAGGGTTTCACCATGTTGGCCAGGTTGGTCTCAAACTCCTCACCTCAGTCAGGTGATCCACCCACTTTGGCCTTTCAAAGTTCTGGGATTACAGGGTGAGCCACTGCCCCCAGCCTTAAATCCTTCCTTTTAACCTTCAGAAATTCTGAACTTAAAAATCTCTATATATTGTAAAAGTATAGATATCTGACCAGAGAGGATACTTTCTGACTCAGGATTTAGTCTCCGATGCCTAGAGTTGCAAAGTCATTACCTATTAAAAGATTTAATTACTTCTGAATGTGCCAAGTATCCCCCTTCATTATCTAATTTAACTTTCTTCCTTCATCTATGGATTCCATTCATCTTGAGCTTGGCATATGAGCTCTTTATGATACCTGGTCCAGGGTAAAAGGGAATAAAATGCAAGCCTTGGCCCTCACAGTGCTCATAGTCTAGTGGGGGAAAATAGACAAGTAAATGGGATAGGGTGTGATAGCTGCAATGTGAACCCACGGAAGAGATCCTGAAGCCAGATTTGGCAGCAGTGGGTGGGGGTGGGAATAAGGAAGGCTTCAGAGTGGACCTGACTCCAGACCTGAATCTGAATACTCCCAAGCGTTTATTAGGTAAAAGGGATTCTCAGTGTAAACAACTCCTATGTGAGTATGGAGGCTGGGAGAACACGGCATGGCTGAAGATCTGTGATTAACTGACTAGAATTTCAAAACATGATGTGAGCATATCAGGGCTGTTATAAAACTTCTGTGAAGAGAAGCCAGATCATGGAGGGCCTTGTAGGTTAAGGAAATCATACTAAGGAGATGACAGCTTGTCCAAGAAGCAATTGGAAATCACTGGCAGATTTTAAGCCTGGGATTGACATGATCAGAATTGCTTTTTAGAATGCTCATTCAAGCTCCAAGTTTAATAGTACCTCTATCATCATTCAGTGTTAGAGCTAAGGCAGAACTCAGTTTCCAAGGCAATACTGGAGACTCAAATGAGTACATGTCTGCATTTCCTGGTTTCTTCATGGTTTACTGAAGAGCACAGGAGAGAAGCACTGTCCCATTCATTGGAGTCCATGAGTGGACTCCCTCATGTCTTATGGGATTAGCATCTGAGATGCTTTGGTTGACCAATTCTCAGTTCACATATTCAGGCCGGCTCCAGCCTGGAGACCTTTGAAAATGCCTTTTTTTTTTTTTTTTGACAAAGTGAGTGATTGCAGAATAAAGTTGAAGAGCCTCAACTGTTCTTAGAGAGCTATTTTAGTCCTGTAAGAGGACAATAAGTTGACACAGATTGAAGTCACTGCTATGAGTGGGAGGATAAGGTGGCTGCTAGTTGGCTTAAGGCAACTTCACTGACTGGCCAAGGGATATTACTCTCAGCCTTATGGAATTCAACAGTTTTTATTATCCAGCACACCATTATTTGGACAGAAATAATACTTTTTCCACACTGTGTTATTTCTGGAAATTTGATGTATTCCTTCACTGCTCTACCTGCCTGGAAGATGTTTTTCTAAAGTCAGGCGGAAGAAAACCTACATTGGCTGCTGAAAAGTGGATGCCTGCTATTCACGATGCAATTACCATGACAAGTATTTCTAATTGCCACTTCCTTTCCTGCAAGCTCTCCTTTTCTTCAGACATTGCGAATTTCTGGTAATCCTGGGTTATTATCGCACTGAGCTGCTAACCTGAGTCTTGACACTCCTCCTGGAGACCCATGTCAGAAATAATTACAGCTCAAGTGAGGTGATTCTTTCCTCGTTATTAGCAGTTGCTGGTGTTGGTATGGAGCATTGATTAGCAATTTGGAACGAGGCATTCCTTGAGCTTTGAAACACATTTTGTTTCTTCTGTGCCTTGGAGGACAGCACACGTTGTTCTTCGTTCTTGCCTCCCTTTGCCCTTGTGTCTGTGTATTTTGAGAAGTTTCCTTTCATGCTCCAGTGATTTATTTACTTCTAATGTTATGTTCTTCTGTCTCTCATTTTTCAAACCATTTCCTGGTTCTGTGGGTGAAGTAGAAAGAATTCACCTCTTGGAATTAATGCAGTGTGCTTGTTGTGGGAGTTCTGAGAACTGAGAAGGAACCATTTAGCACCTCATAACCCAGGTCTTGGCCAGTAGAAGCAGGAGAAGACAGGGAGGGATGAAGCTGGTTTAAAAAGGAAGAAGGGGCCGGGCACAGTGGCTCACGCCTGTAATCCCAGCACTTTGGGAGGCCAAGGCGGGTGGATCACGAGGTCAAGAGTTGGAGACCATCCAGGTCAACATGGTGAAACCCCGTCTGTACTAAAAATATAAAAAATTAGCTGGGCATGATGGCACATGCCTGTAATCCCAGCTACTCAGGAGGCTGAGGCAGGAGAATTGCCTGAACCCAGGAGGCGGAGGTTGCCGTGAGCCGAGATGGCGCCATTGCACTCCAGCCTGGGTAACAAGAGCGAAACTCCATCTTAAAAAAGAAAAAAAAAAAGGAAGAAGGGTGCTTGCTTTAGCAACACATATACTAAAATTGGAACAATACAGAGGAGACGAGCATGGCACCTGCGTAAGGACGACACACAAATTCATGAAGTGTTCCATATTTTTTTTTTTAAAGGAAGAAGGGAGAGGTAGGGGCTGCTGCTTACACACATGCCTATTTTTAAGAAGCCTACTTCTTTTCTGTTAGATGATCCCCTTCCCCACTAGTTACCACGAGGTCTGGAATTACTATGGGGTGGGAATAGGCAGTTACGTTTATCTTGACAGCTCTGGAAGGGGCCTGCTGAGCTGTTGTTTCTGTCTGCTCTCAATGGTGAGTGTGCAGGTACACATGCTGCTCCATAGCTCAAACTTCAATGTCACCCTGTTCTGAAGAGGCCCTCTTGCATGTGGTTGTGTAAAGTCAAAGGCTATATAAACAGAGGAAAGCTCCTTATCAGAATTCCAAGTCTTATTTATTTATTGAATTTGTTGAGCAAGAAAAGGCCAGTAAATAAGATACTTTATTTTCCTGCTCTGTGCTTTTCTTCCTTAGATTCAATTAAAGCCAGACTCTAGTCCCTGAGTATACTATAGGCATTTCTGTGCTGTAATGTGGTTGCTGTGCCTTACTGAGATTATTCTATACTTTTATCTGACTCCCAAGTCTTTGAAAAGCCAGTGGCCCTTGAGTCCCCTCAGTAATTGGACTTACTATACCATGGAAGTCTAGGATCTCAGTGTTATAGCTTTATGTTACATAGAATTTATTTGCTCATTTATTCATCTACTCAATAAATGCATATTAAAATACTTCATCATAGTGGGTGAAAGTCTAGGGATTATAATATTTATTGATAATTTGTTGTGGTCCAGAAACCTGCACACACATTATCGGAGTGGCTGTGTTGTACAAAGGATTTTAATATGGGCCTTGAGCTCAAACAGATCTGTCTGAAGTCCCAGTTCCAATAGTCAGTCTGTGTGTGACTTAGGCATGTCCACCAACTTCTCCAAGCCTCAAAACACTTATTGATAGTGGCAGGAGGCATACAAATCCGAGGCAGACAGGGGCAGGTCCCCAGTGAAACTCGACCTTCAAACCAAAGACAGTTTAAAGCCTGAAAGCCAAGCTACAAGTCAAATCCATAGACCAAATTGCGAACCTCTCTTCCTGTTTGGCGTGCTGTCCTCTATTGATACGCATCCTTCACCTATTTTACATATACCTACCCTTCTCTCATTATTATTTTACCCTGATATGCCCACCTGCTTGGTGTCTCTGTTTTAGCCTTTTTTGCACACTCACAAACCAATCAGCATGCACTCCCCATTCTAAGCCCATAAAAGCCCCAGATCCAGCCACTCTGAGAGACCACCTGATATCAGGTGGGGGACCACCCTCATGTCCTCTCTCCATTGAGAGCTGTTTTGTTACTCAATAAAACACTTCTCTGCTCTCCTCACCCTTTATCAGTGTAACCTCATTCTTCTTGGACCTAGGGCAAGAACTTGGGACCCACTGAGTGTGGGTATAAAGAAGGCTGTAACACTGTGGTCCTCTGCCAGTGGAGGGTAGCCACCCATATGATGGGAGGCAGCAGCAGGGCTGAGCCAGCCTGAGAGCCATGGGCTAGAGTAGGGTGATGGGACTGACAGAGCTGTTAACACACTGCCGCCCATTGGGCTGGAGATGGCAGGACTAAAAGAGCTGTTAGCATACTGTAACACCCCTCTGAGGCTTCAGGGTTGTGGCTTCCCTGTTTGGGTGCCACCAGATTCCCTTGTCTGGGTGCCAGAGTCCACCTCAAAAGTCACTTGCAACATGCCTGGTCCAGCTGCAAGCTCCACACAGAGCCCACTCCTGTGCCAGCCCTTGGAGCAGCTGGTAGATCCTGCACTCACTGCCCACACACCTCATCCACCCATGGCCTGAGTGTGCAGTTGCAGTGGCCATGGGATCCATGCCAGAGCACAAGACAGGCATGGCCCAGTAGGCTGAGTAGGTGGGGTATTTCCTGCAGTGAATATGGGGCTGGTGAGGCCCAGGCAGGGGCATCACCCACCAGAGGTCTCCAGCTGCCAAAGTGGCCAAGAAAAATCTTGCATCACTATCTGCAAAATGAGGATCATATTAGTTCCTCGCTGGTAGGGTTGTTGATAGAAATAAATGACTTAATGCACATTAAGTGCTTGCATTGCCACATCATAAATTTATGTTATCCATTTTCATTTTTTAATTTAATCTTCACAGTGACCCTGAAAAATAGGTGTGATTGTATTGCCATTCAGTGCAGAGAATCCAATGTTACAAATTTTGAAGACTTTATGTCCTAGATTTTGGTAACTTTACGTAGCTACATCCATCTTACTGTTTTACAGGTGAAGTCACTGAGGTGCAGAGAGGATGTCGAATCAGGGCCACAACCTGGGTTCCCTGATTCCCACGTCAGGCCTCCTTTGTCACTCAGCATTTCCCCTCATCTTGCATTGCAGTCCGTGGTTATGTAGAAAGAAGGTCCTTAAAACTGTCTGTAAATGCCTGTTACCTACTGATGATGGAATCAGCCCTCCTTTATTTGAAGGTTGACTAAACGGTTCATATCATTCAGACCACTTTTGTCTCCTTTCTCTCTGGGCACCTGGGGCCGTTCCATCCTCATTAACACCTCTACCAGAAAGGAAATGTAAAAGGAAAGAAAATGTAAGTCACTCAGCTCTGCTTCTTATTAGCAGTTCTTTTTAAAAGATTTGGGGTCTAGGTGCAGTGGCTCATGCCTGTAATCCTAATGCTTTGGGAGGCCGAGGTGGGTGGATCACGAGGTCAGGAGTTTGGGACCAGCCTGACCAACAGGGTGAAACTCTGTCTCTACTACAAATACAAAAATTAGCTGGGTGTGGTGGCAGGCGTCTGTAATCCCAGCTACTTGGAAGGCTGAGGCAGGAGAATCACTTGAACCTGGGAGGCAGAGGTGAACCGAGATCGCGTCATTGTACTCCAGCCTGGGAGACGAGAGCAAAACTCTGTCTCAAAAAAAGAAAAAGATTTGGCGGACGGGAGGCTGGCTTTCAACTACAGTGGGGTTTTGACTCTAGCCATGGATTTAAATGAACTGGGCTACATTTCTTGCTGTTAATATGGATAAATGTGTCAATCCTCTGAGTTCTGGAGAACCACTGTCCATCTAGTCAGTCTCTCTATCCCCTCTGGCTCTCCCTTCTCTCTGCCTTTGCCCTCATTGCTGACCCTCCCCTGGGAGTTCCTCATTCACACTGGAGGTAGCGAGAATCCTCTCCAAGGTCACCAGGCCCTTGGCCATGTTTGTTGGGGCTACCATGCTGCCTATGTGAGAGGAGCCCCAGATGTGTGCAAGATGATGGCCCTGGGTTGATGTGAATTGGAAACATACAAAGCTGGGAATCAAAACATGTTAGACATTTTCTTTCATTCTTGTTTCATTTTAAAACCTTGTTCCCTTTCAAGCTACACTACATTCTCCTTAGAAAGTACAAACCTTCCTCTGCCTGCGATCCTTGAGGTTTCCTGGCTGCTTGTTATTTTGACTGCATTCAGCCTTGGCCTGGGCCACTGTTGTCAGAGGTGGCCTTGCAGCCAAGCTCATGTGAACCCTGTGAAACGGACCTCCTCCTGTTGATTTCTGATCATGGAGGTGTCAGCAGAATGCAGCCCCCAAATCACGGTGCTCTTTCAGCTTATTGCTTATTTTGTTTCCTGAGCCCTCTTTCCAGTTTGTCATAGATCTCCGGTATTTACTTTTGTTTTGTTTTTTATAACTTAAAGGCCTTCTCCCATGGCCTGACTTCCATCAACCAGGTATGGGCTGAATTTTGATGGTGGATGTGATATTGAGCAGCCCCTTGGGAACTGGGGATGGGGACTCCACTGAATAGCCTCAACTTTCTCATCTGTAAAATTATGAGGCTGCTCTAAATGACATTTATTGTCCTTTTTGGCGCTAACTTACTATGCTTCTCTGAATACTTGTTTTACTCTTCCTATCTAACCAACTCTGGATGGGCAGGAAATCAGACCACTGCCATGTAATCAAACATCTTCATTACTCATGGTTTCATATCCCATCCCTCATTTTCCCTCATAGAGCCTTCCATTGAAAGTCTTGGCAATATTGTGAGAAGAAATGAGATAGCATCAGTGGAAGCTCTTTGAGAACTTCAGAAGAAAGCTGTTGTTCTAAACCCAAGACATTTTGCAATTAGGTTGGTTCAAAAGTTTTTGCAGTTTTGTCATTACTTTCAATGGCAAAAAGCGCAATAACTTTTGCGCCAACCAAATAGTATGTTAAGATGCCTCTTAGGTGATACAAAAGTAGCTTATTTAGTTTTAGAAGCTCAAGGTCATGCTCTCCCAGAGTTTAGGGATGCTCTTTTCATGCTGTGTACTTGGAGTTAGAAATCATTGTTTTCGTAAATAAAAATTTTTAATAAAATGTGTGGAAGAGTTTAGAAAATGACTTTTTTCATAAAGTAAAAAGATGAAACTCAGGAGATGGAATAGGCTGGAGGAGAAAGTGTTCTAGACCAGTGTCAGGGTCCTGGGTTCAAGTCATGGCTCTGTCATAACTGGACAATAGGCCCTGGAGGGCAGGGCTCTGACCCCAACACTCAGCACTCAGAATAGCACCTGGATGGAATCCATGGGGCCCAAGGGACTCATAAATATCATAAATATGTAGTAATAAGTAAAAAATAATTAATAACTTGGTGACCTTGGGCACCCCATTTAGCTTCTTTGTGTCTTATTTTATTAACTCAGAAAATTCAGAGACATCTCTGTTTTTGAGGAGTGGGCAGTGTAAGAAGAAATAACATCTTCCATTTAACATACCTGTGAGGCTGAGTGACAAAGGGAACTGGACCTTATTGTTACTATTTGTCATTTATAAGGATATGGAAAAGCTCCAGGCATCCCCACTCCTAGTGTCCAGGAACTACTGGGAAAATCCTACAGGGATTTCCCCTTTTCATCTGTTTATTTCTACATCATGATCCTCAACCCCCAACAGATAGAATTCATCCTGCTAAAAATGACTGAACCTTACTTTCTTTGGAAATCCTCTGCAAGCAACTACTTGAGACTAGGGTCC